TGGTATTCGGGCGGGATCTGGGCGAGGTCGTGCCAAACAACTACAACAACCATGTGAATTACATACCACAAAATAATAAATAAAGTAGTATATTGATATGTACATATATATATTGAACACATTTAATTAAATAGAATACAAAAACTTATAATAAAAATCAGTGTGCTCTCGAAAGGTGCGCTCAGACTACGCTACACCACTATACAGTAAGTAAACTTATATTGTTAACTTCTCCGTTTCGTCGCCGTGCCTCTCCCATTTTGCGCTGCGACTCAATGTCAAAACTAGACTGTTTTCGCGACTTTTAGCAAAAACTACAAGCCAAGGCTTGTATTATTAAGTTATGTGGTGTTTATTTTACATCTGGAAAATTGCCCCGAGAACAAAGTCTATACTATTTATAAAATATACTTAACTTTCAGCTAGCGTGACATTCGACCGGTAATGTGAATTTAATTATAACGTTGTGAAAATTCAATTTGTTATAGCTGCAAATAACTCTTTAATAACAGTTTATTAAGTCACCTCAAATTTCTTTTATTATAAATACTCAGGCATTTTCTACACCGAAGAGAGTGTAACTAAAATTGATATAACATTTCCTTCATATTAATTTAGTAGTATAATTATTAAAAGGAATAATTTAGTGCTTCATTTTAATGCGATAAAACTAAAACAAAATATTATTTTTTACACTCTTACCAATATATATATATATACCTATATTTTTTATGTTAAAAGGGTGGAAAGCTATAACATATATGGTGCGCCTGATGGTAAGCGGTACCATAGCCTATAGACAAATGTGACATTAATAATATAACTCGCGCCTTGCCTACCTCAGGGTAGGGTCCTGAAATTTTATCCAACGACAGAAACACAACACCACCGAAAGGTACGGTTATTTATTATTTATTTATGCATTTGGAATCCAAACAGCGTTACAAACAGTTTTCTTTCTTAAGATAAATCCTAAGTAGGCAGCAATCGAAATGACATCACATAAGATATGACCTGTGTTCTTGTAGGCAGTGAGGTGCATGCCACTTCCCCACAAGGGCTCTAATTCGAGCGGGAAATCCCCTTTGCCCTATCTCTACTGTAAGTACTGTAATGCCGCAATTACATTTAGTCGTTAGCCCGTATTCAGGTACGAGAAAGACATTACTCGAATTCGGGCACCCGAAGCAATATTAACACTGGAATACGGGCAGGAAGACGGTGTCAGGTAAACAAAAGGAAAGCTACCCGGATACGAGCGTACTCGACTCCGTTTGTTTACACTTAGTTGTTTACCCGAATTCCATTGGCACTCGTATTCGGGCTAACGACCATGTACAACCGTTCCAGAAGCCTATGTCATAGGATACTAGAGTTTTGCATGGAAATACAATAGAAATATAATATATATATATATATATATATATATTATTAGAACAGTATATTAAATAAAAATATTATGTTAGTACGTTAATTATGTTAATAATTATTTTTCTAGTAAAATATGATGTTAATAGCATAATGACTCAACATAATGGGACTAAGATTAAAGTCCAGGACTTCAGCTAGACGACACTTTAAAAAACCAGTAGACGTTCTACTAATGGAGTTCGTTAAAATAATGAATAAAGACATATATGTAATAAGTTTTCGAAGCTGGCAAAAGTAAATAAAATAAATTTTATTGCTAAAATTGTACATGAATCTATTTTCCATCCTTATTCTAGGGACACAGTTTCTTGCATCAGCAAAAATATTCATAACCGTAGCATCGTAGCCAAATACCGTAGCCGCATCAATTAATCGTAACGCTACACGCGTCTCTGCCAGTTTTGCCTTGCTAATTATTGGTTGACCAATCAAATTGAAATTACTTTGTGTAACCTTGTGTGAATTGATTTAATAGACTTTTACTAACTTTTATCTTGTTATATTTCGGACACACAGTAAAATCTTCTGATTAGAACATTATTGACGGACAGTTCTCGCATAGATAGTCAGTATATAGATACATATAAGTTATTAAAGTAAATCGGATTTCACCACGATAGTAAAGTTTGTTGTGGGAACTAACGTCGTCGTGTGAGAAATTGAGCATGAACACGTCCCTAATTTCGTTACATTTCCAATCGTTTTAAAATACTTAACTACTAGAGTACGTCGCTAACAAGGTTTGTTCTGAGTATTCAGTCTACGTGAAGTTTATTGTTTAGAAAATAGATCGTTTTAACACTTTTTATGTGCTTAGGTTATGTATGAAAAGTTTCAGATACCTTGAAAAGATGACTAATTATTACAATAGTTTTGGGACAGCAACATAAATAAATCTAAGTTTTATTTAATATTTCATGATAGGAGTCAAACTGGCAAGATTTGCTTGTAAGGTTAAGGTGGTATCTACATACATTACAAAAGGAGATTGTTCTACCATATGAGTGAAGAAGGCACAAAGACAAAGCTTCATACAATATCGCAAGGTGGGTTAGCATTGGCGCCTGTAGCTTATGTAGAAAATAAAATATGCGCAAGTGATTAGCGCGTTCGGCTGCGATCGTTGATGTTAAGCAATTTTCGCAGTGGTCGGTGTTTGGATGGGTGACCAAAACTCTTCTATCTCGAGTTCCTCCGTTCTTCGGAAGGCACGTTAAGTAGTTGGTCCCGGCTGCATCTGCAGTCCTTAGCACCCGCCAAACTGCACTGGGCTCTCGTGGTGGGTCATAGCCCAATCTCCCTATTCCATCCATTGGGAAGGCCTGTACCCCAGCAGTGGGGACATTAATAGGCTGATGATGATGATGATAAAGGAAATCTATATACAAAGTGGGCTAGAGCAAGGCACAGAAAGACATCGCTCACGGACACGACATCTCGTACCGCTAGAGACACGCTTCTGTTTTTGTGCAAAAATGGAGTAACAAAAGTTAAAATATAATAATTATTCAGTAGATGGTTGTTTGAATTCAACATCAAACAGTAAATTGACTTTTATTTTTTTAATTTTTACCAAGTATCCCAATAACATTAAAATTGATAAACTTCAGTTATTTTTCGTTAAATTTCATTATTATTCATTTCATTGCATTATTTCTATTTCATTTTCAATGATAAATCAAACAACTTAATACGTACGAGTGCCAAGATTTTTGTGCATATCCAAAGTAGACAATTGTAGCGTGCGCGACCGCCGAGCGTAGGTATAAAAAGTGAAGTCATTATCATCATCAGCCTATTAATGTCCCCACTGCTGGAGTACAGGCCTTCCCTATGGATGGAATAGGGAGATTGGGCCATGACCTACCACGCGGACCCAGTGTGGATTGGCGGGTGCTAACGACTGCAGATGTAACCGGGATCAACGGCTTAACGTGCCTTAAGCACGGAGGAACTTGAGATAGAAGATTTTTGGTCACCCATCCAATGACCGACCATTACGAAAGTTGCTTAACTTCAACGACCGCAGGCGAACGAGCTAACCACCCGCTCCATCTCCTGCGAAAAAAAAAGTAAATACATGAGATTACCTTCTCCTTCTTAGGCACGCACGCAGCAGGAAGCTTGCCTCTGTGCATTCTTTCTCATGAGGTTGAATAAAATGAGCCGCTACCACATGAGCAGCAAATGGACCTTTACGCCATTTTCAAATTGTGTTCTCTTTTTAATCAGGTACACCTCATTCGTGATGATCCGATCGGTGGAATAGCGGTTGAAGGGAATAAGTTGATACTCCGTGGACTAAGGCGGCACCATTCAGCTCTGTACAGGTGTCGAGCACGGAACTCGGAGGGTAGTGCGTTGAGCGAACCCATCACCTTGAATATATTGTGTAAGTAATGGAAATAACTTTATGGATTATATACACGCCTAGATACCGTATAATCTGCACGTGTGGTAGCTATTATAAATATCTACTACATATGGTAGATACGCTCGTCGCTACACACGCACACATTGACTACTTCCAAACAATCTGACATAAGAGTCAAGTACACATTGCCCGAAGCATGAGCCATTTTCTTTGCGTGGTTTATTTGGATTGATCTAGGCGTGTATATAATCAAAGAGAAACAATATATTTGCATTTTTTTCTAAAAGCTAGAAATTTTGTGTGCTATATCACGGATTATTACTTTTGGAAAGACTTCCTTACTTTAAATAAATGTAATGTACATTTAGGTACATACGGTATCTTTGTTTTGATTTATATGGTGTTAGTTTTTTATATGAATTAGGTACGTTGAAGAGGTATAAATAATAGCTTATTGTTAAAATGATTTTATTACTTGGGAGATTTTATATAATGTAATAACATAAGATGATAAACAATAATACAACGAAGAAGTTACTTGATATTTACTAAATAATTAACTTGACATTTATTATTTTGATCAGCAGTTCATTTGCTGCAGGCTCGTTTCGTTTGCGCTGTACCGAATCTGTACAGTACCCCTAGCACGACCCATTATCGAATTTGAATAGTTTGCAAACCGTAATATGTCAAATTTTGTATGGAAACTTGAACAGCAGCGGCACAAAATACGTAACGAGAACTAAAAATCAGTACATATTTGACAATGACATTTCGAACTCGCAAACGATAAGAATTCGATATTGGTTGCTAGGGGTACAGATTCTTTACCGAGAACCACTTTTTGACCAGTTAGGTTTCGTTGCAGTATCGTTATGTTTTGTTTGCTACGGTTTTGTTCGTGTGAATGTCGGGACGTGCGAGTCAAATGGTGCGGTAGCATTCGGAAGCACTTGGTAGGGAAACATTCTGTACAAAAAAAATACTCGGCTAAGAAGCTTTCATTTAATTATATGCACTTAGTAAAGAATCTATATAGATAATGTATAGAAACGAAAACGAAACGAGCCCGCATCGACCCGGTAAAGAAGGCGCAATTTAATGAAAAGACCAGTTTGATCTAGAGCTTAACTTCTTATTTTTGAAGCATTTGAATATAAGCTTGTTTTTATTACTATTTATTTATTTTAACTAGCACGACCAGAATGTGCGGCTGGCAGTGTAGTCCAGCAGTTAGCTGGCACTCCAGGTGGTGAAGTCAGGGCTAGGTGTTCAGTCACTGCGCCGTCTACGAGGGACGCTGGCCCATTGAGGTTCTACTGGACTTACAACGGGACCAAGGATGTTCTACCAGTAAGAGAATGAACTTAAAAAACTTTAAAAAGAGATGCGTAATTTTATATGATGAATTTTTAGACAGGCGATTAATTCCAAAAGACACAGACTGCTCTGCCTCCAGAATTAACACATAAATTGTTATTGAAAGCTATTTTATTCGAAATGAAAGGAGATTTCTCAAATTGGCCCAAATGCATAAAAAATATTGACATATACGATAATTCTTGGCGTAATTTATACTTTATTTTACAGTCATTAGATTTTAACGGACACCTTTGTATAATATATTCATTTTAAAAAGGACTTTTAATTTTACCGGTTTGAAAAACATAAGAATCATTATTAATGGCTATGGGTGCCAAAGCCAAGACTGATCGAACTTGTTTATATAACATAAAATCAAATCTATTTTATAAAGGTCTATAAGATAAAACCATTTTTTTTATTACACTGTGGTATTAATATCCACAACTATATTATCATTTTCACTACATGCAAATGTGCTAAGACAATTATTATAGATGGTAGGTGACATCATAAAGTCTAACACCTCCATAAACACAGTATAAGGTGTGCTACACTAAAAATCTAAAATATGGTTATAATGTAAACATAACAAAAATAATGAAGCTACTGAAGATATGGCTGTATAACCTAAATCTCTTAGCTTTCCTTGGTTAACGAGAGTTTAAAAATTCTTTCTAATCTGTAGCTCATTCAAAATCATCACACAGTTTCTGTCACAGAGTACCTTCCTTATTATAACCGGAAAAGCATAGATAACCAATACCTGATTTTAAAAGTTACTCTTGTGAATTAACTTTAAAAACAGGCAAGTATCTGTTAATCTAAATGCTCTATATACCTGAATCTAATACATAATTTCGGTACTTGCCTTGATTTCCCTAGTTTACTATATAACTTATTTGTTTTTTATTTTAATATGTACCTATTTGCAAACATAACCACAAAATCGTTCCGTGTATATGGTTTATAGAAGTTCTCAGGGATGTCCGTCAATAATATTCGTTTCTACAGTAATTTATATATCATTTCGAATCTAGGAAACAAATTTTCATGATTATTGGTCTTTAGGCCAAACATGTATGGAAGCTGAGCAATCTCCTTTGTTAACTGTCAAAAATGTATCTTACAGAAAAATAATATTTGATTCAAAATGCACCGCATGCCACACAATTTACTTGTAAAAAGGTGTCTTGATACAATTGGTTATTGTGTCAATCTGACCTTCGACTTCGTTAGTTAGAATTTTTACAAATTGTCAAATATCTGTTATTTGCCGCTTCAAAACAGTCATTGCGACATTCTTAATTTAAAATTGGAGCTATCGAACTCAGTAGTGAGATTTTTTTTACAGAATCACTGCAATTTCTCGTGAACTTGGCTGATACGCAACATTCCTGTATTCAATTGTTATTTTTCCACAGATACCAGCTTCAAATGTAACAGTGATGGGGTCAAGCAGTACTGTGATTCATGGCTTACCGTCAGACAATATCGACGAGGATCTCGGTTGGCTCGCGTGTTGGGCCAGCAACGACATAGGGAACCAGAGGGAACCCTGTCTGTTTAGAATAATGCCCGCTGGTAAGTATTGGCTGTAGTAAAATTTTTTATTAACTATTTTAATAAAGCTCTTTTTCTTTTATGGCCTTTGAAAGCAAATGAGCGGATGGAACACCTGATGTTAAGTGGTCACCGTCGCCCAGCAATGCCAGTTCATCACCATGCCACTGCCTTAAGAGAACACTCCATTTTTACTAAAAAAAACTCTTTCGAGTGCCTTTGTCCGAATAGAGCCTTGCACCTCCAGATATGAAAATGAGATTGGGCAAATTTTGTATGAGTGTTCATCCAAGAACAAAATACCGACTCCGTTGAGGTATTTATGTAAGGGACCTCAAGTACACTTAAATACAAAGGGGCAAAATCTGACCCGGCAGTTTTGGTAAAAAATAATCTTTACATTTGTTTTAGTACATTGTTTTGCTTAAGATGTTTATGTCTGCTATATCTGGCTGTATGTGACTTCGTAGTCAGTATTTATCTAGTAGGTAAGTATTATGTCGTTTGACTTTGTTGGTTACCTAGAATGCGAAGAGTGGGCGTTACCTTGCAGCCTAAGAAATATTAGAAAAAAATCGACACGATCGTTAGTTCATCTACCCGGATAGCAGGTCCAAGTCCCGTCTGCTGCCTGGTCCGCCTGGATTTTTTTGAAATTACAACCACCAACGGCTTCTGAGTCGCGCTAACGTTACGTTTTTATAAAAAGTATATAAGCACTTGAAAAGATCGGCGGTCATACCGCATCATCCCCTTCTCAGGGGATGATCTCTTCAGATGAAGCTTGTAAGGCCATTCTGGTCATAAACATGAACTACGGGTCTGTTTTAGTCAGTAAGAGTCTGACATAACCCTGCAGCAGGCTGTAGGGTATCCATGAGGATTTCAAACTCCCCCTTGGGAGGAAACGAAAAAAAAATCGGCGGTTATTATTCGTATAAAAAAAAATCGAATTAATTTTGAGTTTGACTTTAATTTAGGTATTTTATTTGAGATGCATGTATTGATATTAATTTCGATATAGAAAATAAAGACTCCTGTTGTAATATATTGACATAACTACAGGCAACTACGGAACCCTACACTGCGCGTGGCACAACCGCACTTGGCCGTTATTTTTTTCTCTCTTATGAGTTATTTTTTAACGGCAGCCGTGTTTTTCATTTTTTACTTTTGATTTTTAATTAGCTCTTCCGGAGCCGCCGAGCAACTGCGAAATTGAGAACGAGGTGCTCCACTGTGAGCCAGGGCACGACGGCGGGCTGACACAGAGGTTCCTCCTGGAAGCGCTGGAGGTACGGCCCCGCACGGACCCCGTGCCAGAGGAAAATGACATCTCCACACTCAATGATCAGGTGAGCGCGGCGTGTGTTTGCTTTGCCGTGCTTTTACCCTATTTCCAACCTATATAAACTAAACAACAAGAAAAGCTCCCCTTTGTTATAAGTTTAAAAATGGAAATTGGAAATAACCTGTTGAGTGAAGAAGTAGGTATTGATTTCCTGTGATTTCTTATTATAAGTTTAAAAATGGAAGTAGCCTCTTGACTGAAAATAAGTTATGCCCACGTTGTTACCTAAGACTTTCTTGAGAATTTTTTTTTTCGGACAGATTGTGTCAATGTGGGCGTAAGATACTGATAAAGTCTTTTAATTGAAAAAGCAGTAGATATTTTCCTTATACAAGTTTTAAGTGTCTAAATATAAAGGATAGGGATGCATTTCCACACAAGCGGAGCTGTGTAAAACGGAGTTTTAACAGTCTATTCCCAAATAATTATTAACGAGGAATAATTATTTGTTCCATGTGTTCTATATTGACATTCGTGTTATGTGATTTGATTGCTTAAACTTGCGATGATCGCTTATTCGCGTTCAATAAGGAACAGCTGAATAAGAGAACTTGTTAAACGAAAGTATTACTTAACAGAACTGAAAAATAAAATCATTAGTACGTGCTTCATTTTATATTTTAGAATGTAAATAAAATCTACATATCGTTTTATACTACTTACTGTTAATAGCGTAGAATTTACGTTCATAATATTATTTTATTAAAAAAGTAAACTTAGATAACATACATTTTCTCCCAAGGGTATATCTAGTCGAGGTTTGACAGAAGCAGTGTACCGCGCCAGAAACGACAGACCGCAGTTCTCTCTAGATGCTTTGTCTCCTGGAAAGTATACATTGCTGGTATACTCAGAAACTCCAAGGGGCAGGTCACCTAGGCCAGCAGCATTGCACAGCGTGGCAATAAGAACAGCAGATGATTTGGATGTGCCAGGTAAACGTCATTCAAAATTCTTTTTGTCAAGTGTGAAAAATAAGTGTTCACTTTAGCCTTGTTTTTCCAACTCCAATATAGAATTTGACAATTTAGAAGTAATTTATTAATAACAAGAAAAACCTATCTAGTGTGAATACGTCGATATAAACACAAAATACGCGCTTTATGATGGAAACGAACAACCTTTGTACCCGAAGATCACCCAGCCAACCGAGGCTCGGCTCAGTTGGGCGTCAAATACATCTGATATCTATCTGTTATCGACATTCACAGAGATTGTTCGGTGATATTACAATAAAACAAGCTACATTACTTGCAAGATGGCATAAACTACGATCTACTTACATTTTATAAACACTTTTTTACTCGTTACGATTTACGAAAGACTTATTTTTTTCATGATCGATGATATGATTAAGATATTAAGTACGAAATATAGTCATATGCTCATTAATCACTCATGATCCAACTGTTGTTTTTACCTATCCTCAAGAAGGGTGATTGTATAATAGTTGGGGAGCCCAAGCGAGAATTTTTGGATTTACTCGAGCGCGGCAGAATAACATAATGGGGGCAACCTTGCACCTTGCGAAGTACTCCCACTATACGACGCCATCTAAGCAGGGCCGAACGTCTAAGACAGTAAAAAAAATAAAAAATTAAATAAAAAATAAACGAACACGGTCTTTGGTCGTGTCCAAATCGTAAGTCTTTTAAATAGGAATCACATTTGGAAACTGGAGGGATCACTTTTCCCTTCTCAATGTCTTTTTCAATTTTTTTTTCTATATTCTACCCCTTCTTAAGGTCATCCCCACACCATGCAAACCGGCAGATCAATATTTTTCCTGTCCTCAAAAACGTTACCTACGCGAAGCCTCCAGTAGTTTCTCTTTAAAAGACTGTCAATTTGGACGCAACCAATAGTCATGGCCGTATGTTGAAAATATTATTTGCTGCCCTATAGGTTCGGCCCTACGTAGAAGGCTCAGGTATGGGAGGAGTACTTTCATGGTGTAATGTTGACCCCCTTATGTTATTCTGCGCTCTTAAGTTATCCAAAAATCCGCGCTTGGGCTCATCTACTATAAAAAACTTATCTCGTTTAAAAGTAATAATTCCCATGTTTTCATATTTTTCACAGGTTCTCTTCAAACAATGACACCCTCGCCTCCTAGTCCACCTTCGGTTGGAGATAACAGCGTAGCGCTGCTTACTGGGGCGGCTTTATCCCTCGTCCTTCTTACCATCTTAACTACGCTGTGCGTCACATTGGTGGTCATGTGCAAGAAGAAACGGCCAAGACGTGACCCAGAACAGAAGTACATGTCACTCTAAATATTAGCATGTTCGTATTAAGCTCACTGGGGCGGCCTTGTCCCTCGTCCTGCTTACCATCTTAACCACGCTGTACGCCACATTGGTGGTCATGTGCAAGAAGAAACGGCCCCGATGTGACCCAGAACAGAAGTACATGTCACTCTAAATATCCGCATGTTCGTATTAAGCTCACTGGGGCGGCCTTGTCCTAAGAAATGAACTCCCGGGTCTACCGAAAACTTTAGTCGACAATGACGAATTAAAGGCGATTGGGGAAGCTGATGATTCTCAATCTACAGCTGAATTAGCAGTAGTTCAATGTTAGCGTCAAAACAATATTGGCCCATTTGCGTCAAATTGGCAAGATAAAAAAGCTTGACAAATAGGTGCCCCACGAATTGAATGATCGCCAGCGCGAAAAGGTACGGATCGAGTCGAGTCTGGCACTGTTCAACGGGTACACAAACAAAGGCATATTGAATCACATTGTTCCTTCGACCAAATCTAGATGTTCGACAATAGGAAGCGCTCAGCAAGTTAGAAAGATCATGATTAAACACCTAAATAATACCCCCAAACGAAAACTGACCCCTAAAAAAGGGATGGTCATTCTTTGGTGGTCTAGCGCTGGTGTCATTCATCACAGCTTCTTACCACACGGGATGAGCATTACTGCAAATGTGTACTGTGAAGAACTGAACACAATTATGGAGAATCTCCAACCAGCCTTGGTCAATCGTTTGGCTCAGCTGCTCCTGCACGACAACGCGCGACGCGCTAACGTGCATAGCAGACTTTCTTCAAGTTACAAGAGCTGGTTAGACTTCTAATTTTTCCCGAATTTGGATAACTTCTTAGTAGGGAAAAAATTCAATAATTGAGGGGCAGTTCAAAATACCTTTGAAGAATGTTTTGCCTCCCGTCCCGCAGACTTTCAAAATGGGCATCAATAAGCTACCCCACTACGTTGGCAAAATGCCTTAATTGCATGGGTAATAAAAATAACAAATATAGAAAAAAAGGCCGTTAGGTTATTTCATTAATGAAAAACGGCAATTTCATAGGTAATGTGACTTGTAATTTCGTACTTGCAAACAAACATGAAATCATTTATTTTATTCTACCACCGTTTTTAATCAATAAATAATTAGTTTGTCTTTCTTGCCTAGTTTTAAAATTATAAGATGCATGTCCGGCTAAGAAGTTCACAAAAATATTGACTTAATTTCCATTCACCAATGAAACCTCTCTTTCTATAAAGTATCATAAATTATTTAATCAAATCCCATCTCTTTTTTCTAGTACCATCCTGCGCAGAAACGTTGGCGTATCTATGTATGGCGGTTCTTCAATGTCACAGAACGTAGTTCCTACTGTGGTAGTACGAGGACACAGAGGATCCAGGGTACTAGCAGCTAGGTGGTCTGGTGTACTGGACGAAGCACCATTAGCTGTGTTGGCGTTGGATACTAGACCGCATGGTGAGGCCAATGTTTTGTAAAATCATGTTGCACTTCTAGACATATTACCAAATAAATAGGCACTAGGGTAGATCTGCCAATTTTCTTTTCTTTTTTTAACTGGGGATATTCCTAACTATACTCTTCAGTTCATCCCGAGTTTATGTCTTGATAATACATGTGTTTTCAAGTTCATGCTCTGACCGAGATAATAAAGAAGTTATTAACATTTTCATTAAAATTATTTATTTATTCTTAGCACTTCATAAAATTGAAGAAAGGTAGAGCACAGCGCAATTTTTGCTCTAAGTGCTAACAACTTTTCATGTTCATTTGAAATGAATAGAAATTTAAAATATTGCAAAACAGTTTGTAATGATAAAGATAAGTCACTGAACAAAGATATAATGTAAAACAGATATAAGATAAGCCAAAATAGTTATTTTATTTTAGTAAACAATAACTTCTCCTACAGAGACGGATTCCAATCACAGTGATGCCGAACAAGAAACTGCACTCAACAGGCATATAAGCAACATGGAAACACAGACAGACACAAATTAAAAAAGAAATTAGCTAAATGATGGTATAAATTAATAGTTATGTTCCATGACGGATTGTCGCGACATAGAAATGTAAAAATATACTAAAGAAAAAGTATAATTATTTAAAAACAGAAGTAATGAAAGTTTGCTATATAGTTAGTAGAGGTATTATTTCAGTGACGAAATAAATAAAACATATCAATTCCAATATTGCAGTTTTTACAATAACAATTTCTGTTTTTCTTGTGTGCAGTATAGTGTCAACACATAACAGAAAATTTGAATAATGTAGGTAAGGGAAATCCAGGAGACTTGCCAAGGTGGTAGAATTGAACCATTTTTCAAAATTGTATTTAAATTTAGCTTATTTTAAAACAACACGTCAATTTGTTTATTGATCCCACCTGTGTTCTGTGATTGATCCCATACGAAGCTGTTGTGTTGTGATTGGCGTCTTGCATATGACCAATGAACGAAAAGTTAATTACAATTTTAGAAGATGGTTCAATTCTCCTACCAGCAAACGGGAGGTTTACCCCTATCTCATTTCTTCGATGATATGGTGACCTCAGGATATCATTTTATAATTACTCTTGAAGGTACCTACGTACATGAAAATAAATAAAAATTATATGAACATGAGGACTTTATTGTAAGAAAAATGTGTTTTAGTATATCGTGTAGAGAGTTCGAATGAATGCAGTATTATGATTTGCAGTGATATTTTAAATATTGTACTTCCTCGTTAGATTAATATTAATTTCAAATATAAAATATGCAAGTTCTGTTAGAATATTTAGTGAACCTAGTAAAATTATAATCACTGAAAATTTTGATAATCTTATACCATACGTAATGAACTGTTCCATTAATTGAATTATGCTATCTGATAATGCGATTTACTTTATTCTAGTTGATAAAATAATTAAGGTATAAACAACAGATCTGCCATATCTACATTTGTAAATACAATAAATACGGGTATTACATTAGATTTAATTAGTGAAGTTTATATCTCACCGATTGTACGTTTAGGTATAACTGTGGATTTTATTGTTTTATTTCTATTTCTGTATATCTTACCAGAATTTTTCAGATGTAGTTGTTTACTCCTTTATTAAAATGTAAGTTACTCTCTATCGTACTTGATATAAGTTCAAGGAATGAAAATATTGATACTTGATGTGTTGTTGATGTGAACATATTATGTAGCTTATCAGAAAGGCTTTTTAATTAATGTTTTAATACAAAAAACCGTTTACTGGTTAATAATTTTTCAAAATAATCAAAATCTATGTTTTCTTTGAGAATAGGGAAATTCTTCATATTATTTTGGTCTACAGAAATTCTTCGTTTCATTATTAAATACCAAATCGTAAAAGTAACAAGTGACTTTTCATCCAAAGGACATGTTACATTTTTACATTGAGGCTAGTCTATTGCAGTGAGCAAAAAGGAAATTATATTTTTATGAAAATACAAACATTTTCGTCTTTTACGTTATTAAGTTATATTTTTAAAAGCTTCCCTTTCATTTTACATAAGTACCTATATAAAAACAAAACTAAAATTTTGATAATATTAACTGTAAGTTTATTTATTACTGTTATGATACATTTTGAATAGTAAAACGATGTTTCTTTAATCGTTTAGAAATGATATTTAATAATATTTTGCCTTGTAACGTTTTGCAAATTTAAAATAGCATTTAAAAAATGTTGACTCTTTTTTTCTTAGTTATTGCTTTATAATTTTTGGTTTTTTCATAGGACCATCCTAGACAGTTTTCTCTATCAGTAACATGAGTAAAAACAAAAAAAAAAAGAAAGTGGTTCACAGATAATTTATTTATTTATCCCAAAAAATGACATGTCCTTTCTTGATTTTTTAATTAAGATTATAATCTGTGGTTATTTGGAAGATTCGAATGTTTAATGATTAACGAGTTATAGAATTTGTATTGTAGCTTATTGAATGTAAGTTTAAGACCAAAGATGATGTGTAGATTTTAATGTTCCTACTTATATGATTTTTTTTAAATTATAAACATCAAACGCAAAAAAATAATATAGTACAGAAAATTGCACATTTTTAGTAAAATGTTACCGTAAAATACAAAAAACTAGAAAATGTAATGACTCCAAGCAGATCGTAAATTTGTAAAATAATTTCTCAATTTCATAATAGGTACTGATGATATCGATCTGTTGTGTCACAAAGGGTACCAAAGTTAGTTTATTAATGCACTAGCGACTGCCCGCGACTTCGTGCGCGTTAACTTTAGTTTTTTGAGAATCCCACAGGAACCCATAATTTTGCCGGGATAAAAACATGTAATCTTATGTCTCAATCCAGGTCAAAACTATATGCGTACCAAATTTCATCCAAATCCGTTTAGTAGTTCTTTCATGATTGAGTAACAGACATACAAACTTTCACATTTATAATTTTAGTAGGATAATATTATATTTTGTAAATATTTATTATTTTTTATTTTGTAGAATCTTATAAGACTTGTCATCTCCGCAGCCAAAATTAAATATTCGATTGGTACGTAAAAAAATATAATTAAAAGGGTTGTATTATTCATCACATGGAATAAAGATATTAAGACTTTAACACCAAACTTCTCTAACTTTGCTACTTTTCTGACACTTTAATATCGCGTTTTATTTTTGTTACAAATACAGGTTAGATTGTAGCAAAGGGGATCTGATGTCTTATATTTTTGCGGCAACCCTTTTTGTCCTATATAACAACCTAAACCGCAAACTGACTTTCATTTATCGTAAATGTAGCACATAACAAGATTGAATATAATTTATTCGACATGTTTTCTGACGCTTTTTGCCATTGTATACAATTTCTAGGAAATCTTATTAGATTACAGATACGACATATTTTCCGTAACATATAAAAATACCTCAAAGGTTCTTCTTGTATTAAGAAAACACAGTTAGTAATATATGTAAGGCACGACGTGAGGCTTCCTCGAGAAGATTTCTTACGTTTTCATATTTTAATGGAGATGACGATATTAATTAAGTCATAAAAGGTAAATCTTGTTGAGTATGAAAAGCCCATATTGAATGTATACGTTTTAGTATAACATTGTACCAAAAGAATATTGCTAAAAAATAAACTATTTTGTATTTTATACCTCGATCTTTTAATTATGATACCTTATTGATGAAATGGAGCTTTGAAAAGAGCTTAATGTTTTTTTTTGTTTTCATTAATTAGACGTATCGATGTTATTATGATTTTTCTTGATGCTGAAGTACAGTTTCAAACTAGCAAAAACAATGTCCGAAAGGTCAATTAATTCAACATAAGGAACTGATGCTTTCACGAAATCATTCTTTCAATGGCCACATTCTAACATATGGTCAACATAGCATCATCATAACGGCATATGAATGCCCCCACTTTTTTCACACACAGGCCTTCCCAGGGTTGAAAAGGGGGATGTGCCATGACCCACCACGCAGTCCTAGTGCGGATTGGTCGATACTAAAGACTGCAGATTCAACCGGGACCAACGGCTTAACGTGCCTTCCGAAGCACGGAGAAGCTCAAGATAACAAGTTTTGGTCACCCATCCAATGACCGGTCATTGCGAAAGTTACTTCACTTCCACGGAGACCTAACACGCTAACCTTCGTCATCAGCTTAGTATAGGATGTCGTAATGTCAATGAGGGCTACCGTTTTTTGTCTCACCAGATGGCGCCACTGTTGAATTAGGTCCTGAAGTGTAGCTTTTAAAGTTTGTTAATACGCGCAAGTTTGCATTTAAACCATATTTGAATGCAAAAGAACCGTATCGTAAACATAATCGGCCATGCCACAGTGTTGAGCAGTTCCGTTTTGTTCGGAAAAAAAAGGAGGTAATCATTATATTTTTCTTACGCTCGCTTATAAATAACTGACATTCATTGACACGTTACTCATATTTGCCATAATTAATCTGAGTTATTACCAAATTCACAACATTATTTTATTAGAAATAAACCCGCGTAGTTAACGCACAAGCAATAACATTTGACATTTCAGGGACCTCACGCTACACAAGCACCTCTAGCGTCGGATTCGTACGTTGTAGCCCTCATTGTCCACCCCCATTTACATCTGCTAATGCTTGATCCATGGTTAATCCTAATGCTTATACGACGTCTTTACTCCGATGAACGTCAGCGTACGATAGACCCCAACAGTACAATTCTATACTTAGCACCGCTACGTGTATTTTACGTACATTATGCAGCGCATAGCATGACGTTGCGATCAGCCGAAATTGTAACAGTTTTTAGAGCTCCATACCCAAAGAGTAACAACGGGATCCTGTCGGGGCCTTGTCGGGACCGTATCGGGACCGTGTCGGGATCCTTTGGGACCCTGTCTGTCTGTCTGTCAGTCCCCAGGCTGTATCTCATGAATCGTGATAACCAGACAGTTGAAATTTTGATTTATTTCTGTTGCCGCTAAAACAAATACAATAAAATTCTTGAATATTGTTTCTAATGTTGTATAAATAATGGTATGGGACCCTTTGTGTACGAGTCCGATTAGCACTTAGCTGGTTTGTTTGTCTTAGCTTAGGCTTGTGTAATGGGATGTCCCTCAGCCTCAGCCGCACCACCTATATTCGATATAGGAATCTACTGTAGCTTAAGATCAGGTTAGTATTTTATGTGTATGGTAATATAAAAATAAATATTTCAACATTAATGACTTATTTAGATTTCAAAACACAGCAAAACGTAGCATATAAGCATCGTACTCGTAATAAGATCAAAACCAGGTAAACAGTTCAAATCGCTTGAACTAATCAAAAGTATTGCACAGTAGAGTTAGAGTTGAACATTATATGAACGCGAGCCGTGTTACATTAAATTCTAACAACGTACACGATATCAAAGATTTTACTCAACCACTAAGCTTGGGGTGTTCGTAATATGAGTTTAATACTAGATCATCTATCAGGGGTCGTTAATACCGCACAGCGGCCAGTGGGGTT